CGATTTACTGCCAGAGAAAACTGATTGCATTTTGTTTGAGCCAGGAGACAAGGCTTAGAGGTAAAAAGAGGTTGTGAAAGATGCTGGTATCTTCCAATTAAAAGACAGGTGTAGTGCAGAAGATTGGAAAAGGAAGAGGCCAAGAGACTGGGGCTCAGATAAAGTAGGGCCTTGGTGTACAATATTAAAAATGTTAACTTTTTAGGTTTTTTTTAAAACTTTTTTATCATGGCTTGAGCAAAAGTTAACAAAGCAAACTAATTTTCTATTTAATAATTTAAAATACAATTTTGTCGATGGCATTAATGAAAATTCCTCAGGCTTTAAACTTTTTGAAGAGTTGGCTATTTCTCATTTCTTTCCAGTGGACAAGGCACAGCTGTACTCTGCCTGTGATCTCTTAAAACTTCTGTGCAACCACATCTCACCGTTTAGAAACTATTATTTCTCTTAAGCCAGCTATCCCTTCTTCTCAATTTCCTTATTCTGTTCATATATACACCATTCAAATTCTACATCCTTCTTAATGACAAAGGTGGCAAAGCTTTATCTCATATACTTTGGGCATGTTGTTAGAAGGGTCTGTTCCTTGGAAAGGGACATCATGCTTGGATATAGGTGGAGGGTCAGCGAAAGAGAGGAAGACCTTCAAGTAGCTCGATTGACACAATGACTGCAACAATGGGCTCAAGTGTGTCAGAGATGATAATGGCACAGGGTAGGACAAGGTTCAGATCCATTGTTCACATTGTTGCTGAGTCATACTTGATACATAACAACAGATTCGAAGCACAATTATTGAATCACTCACTATATGCAAAGCACTATTCCAGGTGCTGTTGTAGATGGAATTCATTTCATTAAAATCAAATGCTATCCTCAATAACTCAACCTAGTTGGTGAAAGTAGTGCACAGAAAGCTAGATCGGCAATTAATTGTATGCTGTTGTTGTGTTCCGTTGAGTCTGAACCCATCCGTAGTTGACCCTCCAGCGGCTTTTCACAGGCAGTTAATCACATGGGAGGAGATTGACCCTCTCTCTCCCGGGGAGCAGCTGGTGGTTTTCAACCAAGTGCCTTCAAGCTTGCACCAGAGCGGAGGGGTGTGTGTGTGTGTGTGTTCAGTCATTTTGAGGAAATAACCACACTGCCTGTCTCATCAGTTTACAAACCTTCTGCTACTTCTCCTGTCTCTCCACAAGACCTTCAGCACACTGTAAATCCCATGAGTGCTGGGAAAACCTTTGCTTGGTTTGTTGAAGTGTCACCAGAAATTAACGTGTTATTGTTGTTGTTAGATGCCTCCCGTGGAGTCTTACACATAGTAGGTAGTCAGAAATATTTGGTAAGTAATTGAAGTTTGATTGTATCCACCTCAAAAATCTCCATCGTTTCGCTTCTGCTTTTAGAATAAAAATTGAACTGTTCCGTTTGGTCTGCAAGATGAATTACATTTAACTACAGCCATTTTTGGGGTTTTTTTGGAGATGGGGGCGGTAAGGAGTCGCGCTGCCAATTCAAACGCGAGAGGTTTGGAGTCACCAGTAGCTCGCTGGGAGGAAGATGGGCAATCTCCCCGATTTTACAGCCTCTGAAAACCCGCTGGAAGGTCAGCTTTGATTTGGTTCAGCCTTGAGGACCACGAGAGAGAGCCATGAAGGTCAATTTAGCTAGTGATTTTTGTCTTGGTCACTTGTATTCTTCCGCTTCCATTAGCTAGAAGGCTTATCCATCTATAGCTTCTTAAAGAAGACTTGCATGTCCAGCCGCTCCCTCCAGCCGAGACCTGCTGGCCACCCCACCCAAGTTACCTCTTGGTACCCAATCTCTTCCTGCCCGCCTCTCTGGTCTCACCCCACTAGAAAGCGAGCTCTTTGAGGGAAGAACTGAGCACTGGATCTTTCCCCAGGGTCCCAAGCTGGGCCTGCCACAGACAGAAGTGTTGGCCATATTGGTGGAGTATCGACGGCAGTGGGTTAATCACCAGAGGGCCATTCATGAGGCCATTCAGGGGCTGAATGACAGGAAGCCGGCTGTGCAACTCTGGTGGACCAGGCCGTGGTGGCCTGCCAGAGGCGGGCAGGGCGATGCCAAGGGAAGGGGTGGAGAGCTGGGGCTGGGTGTGCTTCCTGCCCCGGGAGCTGGCGGCCCGCCCTTGCGCCCGCCCCTCGGGTTGAGCGGAGCCGAGCCCAGCCTGGGCTGGACAGCCCCTCCTGCCTCCGGCTGGCGGCCCAATCAGCAGGCGCCCCCCACCCAGCCCGCCCCCTCCCCCTCGGGTGACAGAAAGTCGGCCCAGCAGATGAGGAAGTGGCAGGCAGGCTGGCTCTGGGGACTTCTCTCTGGCACTACTCCCTCTGAGTCTTCCACGACAGCTCGTCTGGCCCCCCACTGGTGAGTCTGACCTTCCACGGGCTCGCCACGTGCCAGAGGCCCCCGCCTGGCTAGCCCGACCAGGCCTTGCCCTGGCCCTGCCCTGCCCTGCCCAGGCTGTGGGCAAAACTGTTCTTGGGGAGAGTGGGTGGGAGGTCCCAGCTCATTGGGGCTGGGCCTTTCCAGCTACCTCCCCCTACCTTCCGCCCCAATTTGCTTAAACATTGGCCTTCCCCCACCCCCTGTGTCTTGTCCCGCTCTGCGGTAACACCTCCCTTTCCCCTTCTTCTCCTCTCCCCGCTGGAGTTGCCTCTCTTCTTTTCCTTTCCATCCATCTTAAAAGGAAGGAAGGAATAGGCTGAGTCCCCCTAACCGGGACACACCCAGGCTTGAAGAGAGGTCTTTCCCAGAAGCCTTGAGCTGCTCTTGATCTCCTTGGTACATTTGTGTGTGGTTGGGGTGGGGAGGAGAAGGGAGCTTGAGAGGTGGTGGTTAGGGAAGAGATAAGGTCCTGGCGGCTCACATGTGTTAGAGAGGAACCATGTGTCAGAGCTGAGTAGGCCCTACCACAGGATAGGCAGCGAACAACAGTCTCAGTGTGAATGAATGAGTGATGACTGTCATTGGCGCTAAGATCCGAGAGATGGAGGCCAGGTGTGTGTCTGAAGCTGATGTGGGCAGTTTTATGTTCAGTCACCTCTAAGTGGTCTATATATGAGTTTATGTCTATAACCACCATAGATCTGTGACTCAACGTGTGTGAGTAAACCTGCCTATGTAACTTCAAGCGGGCGTGGGCCTGAGCGTGCACAAATTGTCCATGGTAAAGTGGGACCTGTGGAAGCGAGTCACCTCTCTGAGGCAGGCAGTGTATTTGCCAGTGTGTGAAAAGTCCAATGAGGAGCAGATTTCATTATCAGGAATATAAGAAACTTGCTGTGTTGAAGACCAGAGGGGTTTGAATGGGTGGTGTGTGAGGAGGAGTTGTTACAGCCAGCAGGAGGTGTGTGTGCTCTCCCAGTGCATATATCCTGAGCACAGGTGAGTTTCTTGTTTTGTGGGTGGAGAGTTGTATGAGAGGCAGATGTGTGTGGAGGACTTGGAGGCTGAGCATACTTCTGGAGAAGCGTGGACTGAGGTGGAGATGTATGTGGAGGAGCACCTGGGAACATGTCCCCAGTGAGCATGTGAGTGTTAAGGGAATGTGGTGGTGGATGTGTCAGTTGGTCTATTTCTTCGCTTAGCTCCCGCACAGGTGGTTTTCTGGATGGAGGGAGCTTGGCTGGCTAGGTGCAAGAAGCTCTTGAGCATCTGCAGCCCTAGATACACAGGGAATGACTTGTCCCTAAGGGGACTGCTGTCTCTGGTCTGAGGCAGAACTTTTGTGTCCCTGGGAGCCCTCCCCCGACATTCCTTTGGTCTTTGAGGGGGAGGGGGCCTAACTTATTAGGACCTCTCCCAAAGGGAGGGGAAGATTCCTGAGACCTCCCCCACTCTCCCACCTCCTCACATACCACTGACTTCCTTGCCCCTCCCTGGGAGGGAAGAGTGCTTATACCCATTCTGAAGTAGGACAGACTGAGACGTTGTAGCTTGTGCTGGCTTGCGTTTTTAACTATTTCCTTTGGGCTGGAGTTGGGGCTGGCTTGGGGAACCCAGAGCCAGAGGAGGGAGTTAGAGCCAGTGGAGGTTTCCAACTTAGAGAATGATGACGGTCACTTAGCGCATCAGACTGGTCCAGGGTGAGTGGGTGGGTGAGTATGGGGGCTTGAGTTGGCTTTCCTAATACTGTTGGGTTGTGATCCCCTAGGCATTGACCTGTGACCTAGACCCACCCTCCATCCCATGTACAGTGCAGCAGGGGTGGGCGGAGGGCGGGGCTGCTGCCAGATCTAGTCAGACAGGTGGAGCCGCCAGGGCAGGAGTCTCAAAGAGCCAGGCTCCCGGAGAGGAAGGGTTCAGCAAGAGCAGAGCACCACGGAGGAGAAGAGAGGAAAGGCCTCTCTCGAGGTGAGAGCCCTGGGGGGGGGGGGGGTGCAGCACAGACTTAGAGAGTTGAGTATCCAAGCAGGTTCCCTGGAGGGTCTCCCAAGTTTGTAAGAGTCTTGGAAGGAACTGGAGGGCCAAGGAGGTGATACCCTGACAAAGTCCTGACAAGGAAGAGGAGTGGCTGAGGGGAAGAGTATGTGGAGATAAGAAATAACAAGAGGTGGGGAGGTTAGATACTCAGCTAGGAAGGGGAGGCACTTCATTGTGGAGATGGGTTTCTAGCTGGGGAGGTCAGATTCTGGGAAAGAAGGACCTTGAAAACAAGAATTAAAAGTTCGCTATTGGAAGAGTGAAGTACACATAGCTGACATCTCTGGAGAGGAGAAGCTGGGGAGAGGAAAGGGCAGAACAAGCCTTCCTAAGCAGGAGAGGATGTGTAGGGAGCAGAGGTCCCTACCAAACTGCCTCTTAGCCAGTACCGTCAACAGTTCTTTGCTCTCACTGTTCTGTCTTTTCAACAATGGAGTGCCAGGTTGGCTGATCTGGTTCTGTGTGTGCTGTTTCTGTGGGTCAGGGGTGGCTTTGGACAGTGCAATGAGTACTGCCTGACACCCGTTCCCCATGCTTCCACAGAGTCCTCAGCCAGGATGGAGTCTGTTGTGAATCTATACCACGAGTTGATGAAGCATGCCGGTAAGATGCTATCCACCAGCTGCTTTCCTGCTCCTTTTCTGGAGTTCCTAAATTAAGGACTTTTTCTGAATGGAGAGTTCCTATGAACCCCATCTAACAGGGATGTTTTTCACCCTGTAACCCTTCTTTACTTCTTTGACCCTTGTTCACAGATCCTCGAATCCAGAGCTATCCTCTGATGGGGTCTCCATTGCTAATGACCTCCATCCTCCTGACCTATGCATACTTCGTTCTCTCACTTGGACCTCGCATCATGGCCAATCGGAAGCCCTTCCAACTCCGTGGCTTTATGATTATCTACAACTTTTCACTGGTGGCATTCTCCTCCTACATTGTCTATGAGGTGGGCCTCAGGGATACCTGTGTGTTAATTCTTGCCTACTGGATATGGGGTGGGGCTCAAGATCCAAAGGATGGCACTCCTTTCTAGTTAAGACTCAGATCCATCTTTTCAGCTAGAGAAGGGGAGGCCTGGGGTAAAGTGACTGGTAGTCTAATCCACACCCCTTCCTAGTTCCTGATGTCTGGCTGGCTGAGTACATACACCTGGCGCTGTGATCCTGTGGACTACTCCAGTCACCCTGAAGCACTTAGGGTAAGTAGGGATTGAGTGTTAGATCATAAGCAACTTGGGAGATAGGAGCACAGGATGACCTATGCTCACTGTCCAGCTTAGGGAGGCTCTCAGAACAGTGCAGGAGTAATAGGGGTTTTGCTTTGTGGGGAGATCTTAAGGCTGTTCTGACTTTTTGCAGATGGTTCGAGTAGCCTGGCTCTTCCTCTTTTCCAAGTTCATTGAACTGATAGACACGGTGAGTACTGTTAGAAAAAATTTGGAGATGTTTGTAGTTATGTGCTGTCAAATCGCTTGCAATTCAGTGATCCATAGTCTGAACCCTGCTCTATCCTGTGCCAACCTTGTCTCTGACGTACCTATTCTCATTACTCCAGTCACTGAATCAGTCTATCTCACTGAGGGTCTTCCTCTCTTGTGCTGTCCCTCCACCCTCCCAAGCATGATGTCCTGCTCCAAGGATTGGTCCCTCCTTGCAACATGTGCACAATGTCAGATGAAGCTTTAGAGTCCTTGCCTCCCAAGGAGCAGGCTGGTTTCACTCTCTCTAGGACAAAACTGTTTGTTCTCCTGGTAGTCTATGGTATATTCAATACTCTTCTCCAACACTACAGCTCAAAGGCATCAGCTTTCTGTCATCCCTAGTCACTGTCCATCTTTCTGATGTATAGCAAGTAATTGCGAAGACTCCTGGATCAGGTGCACCTTAGTCTCCAGACTATCAATATATATCATTTATCTCAGAGTACTGAAGAGTGACAGTGTCAGTCTGGAGGCCATCATCTTCACAGTTACTTGCTATGTGTCAGAAAGCTGGACAGTGACTAGGCATGATAGAGAATTGAAGACTTGCAGTTACACAGCTAGGAATGAGAAGAGACCTTCATTCTGATCCTTCCTCTCCATTTTTCAGGTGATTTTTATTCTTCGAAAAAAAGATGGGCAGGTGACCTTCCTACATGTCTTCCATCACTCAGTACTTCCTTGGAGCTGGTGGTGGGGTGTGAAGATTGCCCCTGGTGAGTGGTGAAGGCCATTGAGAGAAAAGGGTAGACATGGGGACCAGAAACTAATTTCCTGACCCCATGTCATTGCCCACTCACAGGAGGAATGGGCTCTTTCCATGCCATGATAAACTCTTCTGTACATGTCATCATGTACCTGTACTACGGACTATCTGCCCTTGGACCTGTGGCTCAGCCTTACCTTTGGTGGAAAAAGCACATGACAGCCATCCAGTTGGTGAGGAGCCCCCAGCCTGGCCAAAACTTTTCTCAACCCAACATTCCTAGCCTGGATTTTCCCTTAACCCAACCTACTTAACATTTGGCCTCCTTCTTTACCACTTGATGTTTCAGTTTCTTGTTCTACTATTTCTCCAGTTCTCAGTTCCCTCTGACCTTGCCTTTGTCTGTTCTAGATCCAGTTTGTCCTGGTCTCACTGCACATCTCCCAGTACTACTTCATGCCCAGCTGTAATTACCAGTTCCCAGTGATAATCCACCTCATCTGGATGTATAGCACCATCTTCTTTATGCTGTTCTCCAATTTCTGGTATCAATCTTACACCAAGGGCAAGCGGCTGCCTCGTGCACTTCAGCAAAACAAAGCTCCAGGCACTGCCAAGGCCAAGGCCAATTGAGAAACACGGCCTAAGCAGGCGCCCACCTAAGTGCCTCAGGACTGCACCTTAGGCAGCATCCATCAGTGTCCTCCCACCTCCACCTGTGACCAGGGCTTATATGGTCAAGACTGAGTAGGGGACAGGCCCTCCCCTCCCCACAGCTGGTTCACAGAGACTACCGCCTCATCCGCTTCTCCAGGCCAGCCCCAGGGATGTGGCCTCATTGCTCTTCAAAGCTGCTCCAGAGCTGGTGGCTAAAAGGGCTGGACACTTAACCCCCATCTGCCTTAAAGTTGGGGGAGGAGCACTCAGGGCTGGCCCTCACCAGGGCCTTGTGGCCTTTCTTACACTGAAGAGGTCAGCAATAATCTGTCACTATGGACCCAGGCTCCCTCCTTCTCCGCCCCTAAACCAAAGCAGGAGCTTCTTGGCCAAAGGTCAGGGTGGGTGAGGGACCTGGAAATACAGCCTGTGGAGGCTGTTCACTCACTGTCTTAATTAAAAGTGACAGAGGAAACCACTGAGGCTGTGTTTACATGTGTGTAAAGAAGAGGGTGAGGTATAAAGTCCCCGTCCAAAATTGGAGGGGTTCCTGGGGGGTGGGGGGGAACACACACACTTCTAGCTCTGATTGCAGAATGGACCTCCTAGGAAAGCTGATGGGTCACAGTTCATGTGAGAAAGTGAGACATAACTTTATTAGAAAAATTAAAAAAAAAAACAACAAAAAACAAAAAACCAACCAAACAAAAAAAAAAACAACAAAAAAAGCCCACAACACCCCAAAACCAAAAACAAACCACAACCCAACAGTGAAATGATATGGGTCAGTCCTCAGCGGATGCCTTGGTGAATGAGGCTGCTTTTGGCTACACTTGCCTTCTCCCGTTCTCGCCGTCGTACAGGGTCCAATTCAAAGCAGCGCCATAGCCGCAGGGTCTCATCTGCTGCTGCTGATGCCACAGTGGCCCCATCTGGGCTCATGGTCAGATTTAGGACCCGGGCTGTGTGGCCTTGGGTATGAGGAGGAAAACGGTGAGACTGGGGAACCCAAATGTTGACACAGCTCACAGCTGATGGCTACCTATCTTTCTTACGTGTTGGCCATAATGCTTTATTGAGATGTAAAACACCTATCATAAAATTTACCCTTTTAAAGTTTATAACCCACTGGTTTATAGTATTTAGGCAGTCCCCAGGTTACAACAAATAAGTGCTACTTTTTGATATGTCAAAACATCATTATTTTAAAGATGTTTTAGTGTATCTGGAAGTGCTTTCATCTGTTGTTGGTTTTTTGGATTTTTTTTTTATGCACAGAAGGTACAATGTATACTAACACAAATATTTGAGCTTAGATGTGAACCATGCTTAACTGTTTGGAATTACAGATTCAATTTAAAGATTTAGGACCAGATCTCATTTGTAATGTGGTGGCTGATTATATTAACAAAGCTGTATAACCAACTATTACTATTAATTCCATAATACCTGCATTACTCCAAATAGATGTCTCACATCCATCAGCAGTCCCTCTCCATCACCCTCCACTCCACAACTTCCAGGAGCAACTAATCTACTTTGTCCCTTATGGATTTGTGAATGCTAGGCATTTCTTATCAATGAAGTTGTACAGTATGCAGCTTTTTGTAGCTGGCTTCTTTTTCTTTGCACATACCTTTGAGCTCAGCTACCTTAGCCATGGTTGGGTACTTCCAAATAACCAATTGGTTCTGAGCAAATCCATGACCTGAGATGAGCTCCTTATAGTGGGAAGACCAGAGGATAGAGCAGACCTGTGGGGAGGGTGCAGCATGAACATTACACACATAGCCAAGCCTGTTCAAATCAGAACCAAATGCTACATACCCTGCCAAGTGCTATAAACTCTGACCTTAATGATCACAGTCCTTTGAGAAAGTTAAAATTACATTCATTTTATAGATGATAAACCAGGCAGAAAGTTCAGCAAGTTGCCTCAGGACAAGTGCAAGCTATTAGTAGACGAAGAATGCCTCAGGCTAATTGGTTATGGAGCCCATGTTTAAAGATTACAGCCTGTGGAAAGGTGGAAGGAAAAGCTGGTGTGGTTGCTGGAGGACCCCTAGAAAGAGCCTCAAATATCATTCTAATGCATTTGCATTACCGTAGCTGATGGAGAACCACTGCAGCATTTTAAGAGGACAATCACAGATTTATAGCTCAGAAAAACCACTCAGGTCAGAGAGAGGAGGCCAAGTGGCGACCCAGACACAATGCTGGGAAATCAGTGAGGAGACCATTGCAAGGAAGGAAGAGGTTGAGAGAATGGACACATGTGAATGAAATCCTGATGGAAAACTCATAGATCTTGGTGACTAGGTGATGAGGAGGAAAGCTACTAGAAGACTTTTGAAATGTTAGTGTAGGTTTTGATATTCTAAGCAATATGAGGGAGGAAGAATGTTATTTTGAGGGGAAAAGGAGAAATGGCTTCTTCAATCTGAGACATGTTAGGAAGGTGATGTCTATATGATGAGATATCCCACAGATCTTTGGGAAGATAGGTCTGGAACTCATAGGTGAAAGCTGATTTAAGAAAAAGACTTGGACCACAACAAGATAAAGGTAAATAATCCAATAGAAAAATGGGCACAGGATATGAACAGGCATGTCACGGAAGACGACATTCAGATGGCTAACAAGCACATGAAATGCTCAAAATCCCTAGCCCTAAGAGAGATGCAAATTAAAACAACTATGAGATATCATCTCACCCCAGTCAAAATAGCAAAATTTAACAGAACAGCAAGCAACAAATGCTGGCGAGGTTGTGGAGAAACTGGAACCCTGATTCACTGTTGGTAGGAGTGTAAAATGGTACAACCCCAGTGGAAAGCAGTATGGCGCTTTCTCAAAAAGTTGCAAATAGAGATACCATTTGACCCAGCAATTCCACTACTGGGAATATACCCTGAAGAGACCATAGCTGACATCCAAGCAGATATATGCACACCCATGTTTATTGCAGCTTTGTTCACAATAGCAAGGAGTTGGAAACAACCTAAGTGCCCATCAACAAACGAATGGCTAGAGAAGCTGTGGTATATTCGCACAATGGAATACTATGCTGCATTAAAAAACAAGGAACTCATGCAATATTATTCAAAATGGTTGACTCTGGAGAACATTATGCTGAGTGAAATATCCCAGTCACAAAAGGACAAATATTACATGATGCCACTGTTGTAGAATGGGACTGTCCTTGGGGTTGGGGAGAGACTGAGTAAGATGGGTTCAATAATGTATACTGCACTGAAACAGAGGAGGGAGAAAACTGTTTAAAAGAGATATATGACTAGGTACTTCTGTCATCACAGGAGTCTAGAGCGAGGGCTACATGGTGGAGGGGACCTGGGGGAGGGTTTGTAAAACAATGAAAGAATCCTTTCTTTTACTTTTCCATAATTTTTGACTCATGTACTCTAGGTTGCAACACCCCCATGATACATCTTCAAGGATATGAACATGTACGGCCAAGCACAATCAATAAGAGTGCATCTAAATTCCAAAATCAATCTCCATAATAGTCTATGTGTTTCCTACTGCCAAAGGGGTCCTTTAGAGTAGTGAGAGAAGATCTTTACCCTGAAACCCACAGCATCCCTTTTCAGCAGGAAGTAGCTAAGAGAATACGCCATCCCCTTTTCCTTATGAATCAGGGTGAAGTCTCTCTCAGGGAGGAGTGATAGGGAATGGCAAAGGACACACCGACAAAGGAGATTAATCAGAACTGACTTTGACAAGCACTGTGGCAATTGGACAATTAAAACAGACATTCGGATGGCGGGGAAGAAGAACAAACTGGGGAGGAGGGTGGAGAGAATGGTGCGGCAATGAAGGAGTGAAAGCCCAGAATCCCTGTGAATGTTCATTGAAACTAATAAAACTTAATAATAATAAAAAAAAAAAGAAAAAGACTTGGGTATCATCAGACAGACAGTTGGTGAAGCCATTGGAGTAGAGGTGGTTACCTAGCTAGATTATACATATACAGACTAAGAACACATCTGGAAGAGACTAATCGGTAAAACTACCTGAGAATGGGCATCCACGGCATTCAGACAGGCTCCAGAGCAGACATTCCAGATGCGAATGTGTCGATCACTGGTGCCCCCACCTGTTGCCAGGACACTGGACTGCCAGGGACACCAAGCTACAGCCTAGATGAGACAAAGATGGGATCAGTCCAATCCTACCACTCATGTTTCCTCAACAATACCCAGGCTCTGTGTGAGCTTCTGCAGAGACCCTATCCAATCCTGGTCTCACCTTGACAGCTCCTTGATGTTGAGTAAATGTTTGCAGGGGAGCCCAACCACCTTCTCCAGTAGCACTGGGCCACACATTGACGACATTATCATTGCCACCACTGGCCAAATGTCGTCCATCTGGGGCCCAGTGCAGCCCACACACTTCCTGGCTGTGTCCACTCAGTGTGGCTATATGGTGTTCGGCTACTCGGACATCATGGTGGTGGATGTGGCCAGAGCGCGAGCCACTGGGGAAAGGAAAAAGGAAATTCCAGATTCTTTAGCAGAGTGACACACAATCAAGTCCAAACCACTCCAGTCTAGAGGTGCCCAGTCATGGGGAGAGTGGGCAAATATCACAGAGGTCTCACCCCACCACTGACCTGGACAGGATATAGCTGTTCCAACTAAGGGCGCCTACTCTGGCAGAGTGACTGGTCATATTTCGAAGCCGTTTCTGCTGCTGCACGTCCCATAACTAGAGGCAGAGAAGAACACTAGGATCAGAGATTAGGATATGGCATTAACATCTCCAGCTCAGCAAAGAACTCTGGGTCTAGTGGCAACAGTGCTTCAGGATAGGGACAACTCTTACCTGGACCTCAGCATTACTGGTGCCCACAGCCAGATAGCTGCCCTCTTTGATCCAGGCCACCGAGGATATATATTCTCCAGGATGTTCCATTTGTAGCAGCTGCAAAATGTCACCAGAGCTGGCATTCCACAAATATACACTATTGTCCAGTGCCACAGCCAATACATTCCCAGAGCTCCAGTCCACAAGATTCAGGTCTGCCGGAGGAGGAAAGGGATGAGCATGAGCACCGTTGCTTTTCTCCAGACCCTCTTGATCCATCCATAAGGTAAAGATAAAGTTACACTTAACAGTAGTCATTCCGAATTTCAGGAGCATCCAGAATCCGATCTGGCAGGGAAGGAATGTAACGGCAGGTCTTCCGGCTGGAGCCAGGTGTGGCCTTTTGGCTATAAAGTACTTTCAGTTGGTTCTGGTAACCTGCAGCAACAAGAGTGGGTCCAGAATATTGGAAGATTGACACCTCTGTTCCTAATCTAAAGGTCAGACTTGTTTGTTTCCTCTTGTTCTTGGTTGGGAAGAACAAACTGGCATCTTTCCTCAGTCAGAGCATGATACATCCCTCCATCACTCCTTCAGCTCTTACCTTCTTGGACATTCTGGGGTTTCCCACTGAGCCGAAGGATCTTGGCTTCCTCTACATCAAAACCGTTCAAGTTCAAGGCCCAGGCTTTCTGACGCTCCTGACATATAATGGTGGTGGTGAGGCAGGATGACATAATAAATTCGAGTCCGTTTCCCAGCCTCCATCCCTCTGGGTACATACCTTCTTTGTGGGCGTCTGGTTGTCTTCAGGTTGGTTCTCCTTGCTCAGGAGGAAACTGGCCACTTCCATCTGGGAAGCACTACGGTGGGGGATATATCGATCACCACCAGCTTTGCAGGGAGTGATCTGAACTTTGGAGCTGGATTTGCCTGGAGTAGGTGGGGGAGAGAGGTTAAGACTCTGATCAGGATCCCAGCGTTGGAAGAATGGGGCTGCCCTCTGCCCTTCCCTCTCCCTCCACGTCCGACTGCACCCTAACTCACCAGGAGTTCGGCCTGGAGTCCTGCCCACGCTGTGGGATCGGTTGGCAGCCCGCATGGGCGAAGGGGTCGGCCCCGCCGTTTCCTTCGCTTTACGCTGCCAGCGAGCTGGAGGTGCATTGGGGATGGGTGCGTCTAGCTGAAGCAGAGTGTGCAGGTCACTCTCAAACACAAAATGCGCCATGGGAGTCCTTGGAGGTGGGACCCACCAAGGGTTCTGGAGAAAGAGGGCCAACAGGGCTCAGCAGGCGCGAGGAGCCTGCATCCCCAGCCAGCCACGCCGAGCCACCCCGTACCCCATCCTGGCCTAGAAACCCCAGGCCGCAGACCACCCCGGCTCGCTTCAGCAACTTCTCACTGACCTTTCGAAAGCAGCCTGCGCACCACGACCGCCCTTGACGATTCTGGCCAGGATTCTTAAACTCTGCGCTCCCGGGACTCATTGGCTCCTTCAAAACCAACCGTCGCAACTGTCACCATCGCCTATTGGTCTCTATGGCGCAGGAGGCGGGTCTTCCGGCTCAAATCAGCACTCTCACGAGAGTCCAGCCGCAGAATGTGATTTTAAGGGTGAACTGAGTTTAAAGCCCATTTTGGGTGTTGTTGTTGTTGTTGTTGTTGTTGTTGTTGTTATTATTATTATTATTATTATTATTATTAAATAACAACAACAAAAACTTCCCAGAAAATTGATGTTTCAGGGAAGCTGGGAAGGTGGAGCAGGGTGGAGCTTGCAATGCGCTCGCATTCTCGAGCCTCGTCCTTTCATTCTTTAGGTTCCCCTCACCCACTGCGAATGATCCTGTTAGGCTTCTGGTGTCTAAGGATCTATCTGTAAGCAAAGAAAAATCCTATGTCAATCATATGTACACAAATGTAGAACTCGGTGGAGTGACGTGAGAAAAAAAGAAAATGGTTGTGAGTGCCCGGCGCACAGGGATGGGACAAGGGGAAGAGATTAGAAAACATTTCCTCTGGCCACAAACTGGGACACAGTGTAACCTGAAGGCTAGTTCTGAGACCTAATTGTAGTACATCCTATTTGCTTGGTGCCTCAAGGGAACTCAGGAAGAAAGGGGTTTTGTTTATTTTGTTTACAAACGGAATATGAAATTAATTCCTAGAGATGAAGAAAAAGATACTCCCACTATAAACACAAAAATGGATTTAAAATTTTCACCTATATGTGAAATCTAAAACTAAAATTAGATGTTTTTAAAAATGTTTGTTTTGGGAATAGAATGAATAGACAACACTGTAATAGATTAGGATAAGGGAAGATCAGTCTGAAAGGATGGATGATCAGAAAATATGTGCTTTATAATTAACTGTAATAGGAAATGCTTAATTGATCTAGCTGGAGGGGAGAGGAAAGAAAGAAGAAGAAAATATGAGAATAAGGGAAGGTTTACTTACAGATAGAAATAACTGCAGAGGTTTGACTGGCAGAGACAGGAGAGGAGGGAAAGTAAGCAGGGATTAAATACCGTGGAGTGGACTATGATTCATAGTGATCTGAACCTTGCTCTGTTCTGTGCTATCTTCATCATATATGGTGTTTTTAAGCTCATCATTACAATCACGTTGTCAATCCATGTCATTAAGGATCTTCCTCTTTTATGCTGACCCTCCACTTTTTTAAGCATGATGTTTTTTCCCAAGGACTGGTCCCTTCTAACAACATGTCCAAAGTATGTGAAATTAAGTGTCACCATTCTTGCCTCAAAAGAGTACCCTGGTTGCACCTTTTTCAAGTCGTATTTGCTCTTTTGGTAATTCACGGATATTCAACACTCTTCTCCAACACCACAACTCAAAGGCACCAATTCTACTTCTTTCATCCTTTAATACACAAAGCAAGTAATTAGAAAGACCATGGCTTGAATTAGAAATCTTTGCTCCTCAGCACTTTAGACAAGTCCACGACAGCAGGTTTTCCCAATGCAACACATCTTTTAATTTCTCAACAGCTAGGACCAAGGGTCTTGAATGCAGATCCAAGTAAAATAAAAACATTGACAACTTTAGTCTTTTCTCCACCTAATATGATATTGCCTATTATATTAGTTTAATGGGGAAGATTTTCATTTTCTTGATGTTGAGAGATAATCCTTATAGAAGGCTATAGTCCTTAATTTTCTGCAGCAAGCTTCTCAAGTCCTCCTCTCTTTCATCATTAAGGCTGTGTCATCTGCATAATACAAGTTGACAAGTGTTCCTCCAATACTGATGCCACATTTCCCCCCATATAGTCTACCTTCTTGAATGATACAACTTGAATGGGTATGATCAACCTTTGTTGATTTTAAACTATACAGTGTTCCCTTGCTCTGTTCAGATAACAGCTTCTTGGTCTAGGTATAGGTTTTGCATTAGCACAATTAAGTTGTCTGAGATTCCCATTCTGCTCAATGCTGCTGAAGTCTCTATATTGTTAGGTGCCATTGAGTCTAGTACAATGACCCACAATGACCCTGTGAACAGATCTGAACCCTGTCTTGTCCTGTGCTATCCTCACAACCCCTCATACACTTAAGCCCGTTACTGTGTAATCCATCTGGTTGAGGGCCTTCTTCTCTTTCACTGTCCCTTCACCTTCCCAAGCATGATGCCCCTCTCCAAAGAATAGCTTCTACTGGCAACATGCCTAAAGTATGTGAGATGAAGCTTTATCATTTTGCCTCCAAGAAGCACTCTTTAGAGTGTCTTTAGAGAAGGCTAAACCTTCTCTAAGACATATGTGTTTAACCTTTTAGTAGTCCATGGGATATTTATTACTCTTCCCTAACACCACAGTTCAAAGTCATCAAGTTTTCTTCTGTCTTCCTTATTCATTGTCCAGCTCTCAGCAGCATAGTAAGTAACTGAACATACTGTGACCTGAAAAAACACACCTTAGTCCTCAAACTAACATCATGGCTTCTCAATAATTTGGAGAGGTCTTTGACTGCAAACTTTCCTAGTACATTATGTCTCCTGATCTCCTGACTGCTGGTACAAGGTGTATTGACTGTGGATCCAAGTAATAGGAAGTTGTTGACAGTTTCCATATTTTCTCCACTTATAATGATGTTGCCTATAGGTTCAGTGCTGAGAATTTTTGTTTTCCTAACATTCAGATACAATATGTTTTGAAGGCTGCAGTGTTTGATTTTCTGCAGCAACCACTTCAAGTCCTCCTCACTTTCAGTAAGTAAGGTTATGCCATCTGCATAATGAAATTTATTGATGGATCTTCCTCCAGTTCTGATGCCATATTCTTTTTCATAGAGTCCAACTTCTTGAATAATTTGCTCAGCATACAGACAGAAGAGATATGGAAGAAGGATACAACCCTGATGCATACCTTTCTAAACTTTAAACCATGTAGTGTCCCCTTACTCTGTTTGCATAAGCAGAGTCTAGATATAGGTTTCACATGAGCATGATTAAGTGTTTTGGGGTTTCCACTATTGTTTTTTTTTTTAAGTTACTTTTAAAAGAAACATTTTTAATACATGTGCTAAAATGGGAGGGAGGAGATTTATTTGCCTTTCTGTACCTTGATTTTCCTCAGATAGAATCCCAGTTCCTTGCCCTCTAGCACATAACCATCAGCACAGCCACACTGGCCTGGCCTGGAAGGGACACATGTAAAAGCTTGCTCTGTTGGAACTGCTCCTCTAGAAGACTGCTCATTTTTTCCTTTCATTGTATTTTTTTCTGATTTTTTTGTCATCGCTTTTTGTTTAAAATCTCTTCCTCCTCAGGAGTCAGCTTGGCTCCCTTCTTGTGACCGAGGGGTAGCACATAGTGGGATTCGTACCACTGGCGGTACAGTGTGCTGTCAATGAGCACGATGCAGTTTTTCACCAGGGTCTTGTTTCGGACCAGTTCATTATTGGGGGCATTGTAGACAACACCAATAATCCTTGCTTTTTGAGCACAGCATTCAGAGCCCTAGGAGATGTTCCCACACCCAGTCTTAGGGCATGGTACGTCTTGTCTTCATTCATGAACCATGTGTATATGGCAGGGGCCAATCTTATTGTTGAAAGTTGGGCATCCCAGCTTGTACTTCCGCTTCTTGTGGTAGGGCTTTCTCTTGCCTGGGGTCTTGCGGCACTTGTGCCAGTTGTCCCGGGAGATGCCCATCATACAGTGCTGCCTGGAAAGAGCTCCACCGTTGTTAAGGTTAGCCATAATTTGTTATGATCTATACAGTGAAATGACTTTGTGCTTGACTTTGCACATAAAGTTTCACTGTCCTTCCCTCTGAGAAACTTTATCCAAGACTTATTAATTCTTTCTCTTGGCTGTCCATGAGATATTTAGTGCTCTCCTTCAGCACTACAACTCAAAGACATGGATTCTTCATCTGTCGTCTATTCTCTGCCCAACTCTCAGATGCACAGAAAGTAATTGAAAAGACCATAGCTTGGAACAGGCACAACTTGTCTTTTGTAGTTTTTTTTAATTAATATTTTTATCATTCATATACATTGTGTTTCATGCATGTACATTATGTTTTAGACAATCTTTTATTTACATTATATTTTTTTTTCTATTATTTTGTGTGCGTGTACCGTCAAATCAGATCTGACTGGTACAGGAGGATATTGCGCCTCCTTCTCCGGCAGAGCATCTGATGGATTCGAACCGTGTTCCTCTGGGATTGCAGTGCAGCATCTTGCCACTAGGCCACCAGAGCTCCCTTATTTACATTATATTTTGTCCATGTATATTATGGGGTTTCCCCCTTACAATCATCTCCCTAATCACCCTTATATTCATGAAAAGCCAGCTACTTCATCATACCTTATGCCCTAATATCCCCCTTTTAGATATCCCATTTCTGATTTATATCTTCCTACCAAACCAGCATATCTCTTATGCTGAAGAATCCTCTGTTCAATTAGGAAACTTTGGGCATCTTCATCCACAAGCAAAATCTAGTCCAGAGCAACCATCAGTTTGTAGCAATTGACTCTAGTTCACAGCATGGATCATCTGCTCTTTATCTGGTTGGGTTCTGGACCTTAGTCTTTAAACTGACATCCTTCCTCTTCAGCACTTTGGAGAGGTTCCTGATTGCTGACTTTCCCAATGCAATATGCCTTTTGTTTTCCTGACTGCTGGTATCAAGGTTGTGGATTGTGGGTCGAAGTAAGATGAAATCACTGAAAATATCTATTCTCCATCTATCATGATTTT